TCAAATATTTCTTTATTAATAGTAACTATGAAATTTAAAAACCAATCATATTTCAGAAATCAATGAAAGCAAAATTGAAAATTCAGGAAATTATTGCCGGATGCCAAAAAAGCTAAAGATTGTACTGAACTTCTCACTTTGACAGATTCATATATAATAAAAAGCAGCAAGATGTCTTCTATTTAAGGGTTTTCAGAAAGTTGCCTGAGAGCTATTACTGGAAATATCACCAGTTGACAGCCTGTTATTACAGTAGAAATAACACGAGATCAAGTTAGAAAGGTTGCTGACTATATACAACTGGTCTGAATGTCAAACATCCATCTCTCCTTACTGTGTGCAGAGAAAACCTATCAGGCAGAAAACATGATCAGACATTCTCATTAGTCACCAGTATAAAACAACACAATTGTCACACACAGATGCTGTGATTGAGAACTGGCTCATTATGACAGAGGCAGTGTCAAAATCAGATAGGATCTTTTCTTTAAGCATTTTTATTTCTTTAATCATTTTTTTCTTAAAGAATGTAATTACAAGAAGAAAAAAAGATAGAAATGAATGAATGGATCTAAATTGTGTATCAGTTAAATGAAACACTGTGAATGAATGAATGAATGAATGAATGAATGAATGAATGAATGAATGAATGAATGAATGAAACAAAAATTCAAGAAATTAGATTGAAAGAAGTACAACACAAGCATGGACTGGTACATGATGTACTTCAGTGTCACTTGTAAAGTGCTGAAAAATTCCATGGTCTGTAGTAGACTTTCCTAGTACATGTGTTTGCAGGTAAATAGATAAACAAAGAAATAAATAAATGAAAAAATGAATAAGGAAGGAAGACATGTACAAACATGCGTGTGCACACGCACGCATCCACATGCGCACGCACACACACACACAAACACACACACACACACACACATAGAGGTGTCAATTATGAATTATGTCCGGATTTTCCTGGTTTAAAAAAGAAACCAAAAAACATCACTATTTTGTGGACATTTGATTTTGTGCAGAGACATCTAGCTCAGTAAGTTTACTGTAATTAATCTAAACAGTGTATATCGACATAGGAATTCATGGACTAGGAGTACCCCAGAAACCAATGACAACAACTCCCATATGAAAATTAATGATTAATTAATGAAATTAGAATTCCCCTGTACTCCTAAGTTGTATACATTAAGATTTTTCTATACATTGCTACAACAACACACTAAAAGTCTTGATTAAAGTTAACCTAAAAATTTAGAGTGGCATCGTGGAGCACTCTCCATGCTAAATTGATCTCTTCACAAAAGCCTTTTCTCATTATGAGCTTGAAAATCTCAGAAATAGCAGACTTGTAGTCTTAAATCAATAGAAATTAGGATCGAATGAATGTTACAAAATACCAGGACTACTATTTCACCCGGGCAATTCGCACTGATCAGGTCTTCACAGGAACACCTTCAGTAAAGGTCAAGAGCTAAGAGAAATACAAAATCCATTCTTCTCATACCATACACATCAGGTATCTGTTCCTTACTAGTGCCCTACATATACACTAAGACTCACATTAAATATTTACCTGTCACCAAAGCCCTTAAAGACTATCAGAATCTCCTGGTAGGATCTCAAACCATTCAAGTGGCCTCCTCTGGTCAATATTGTGGCATACATTGGTAAATATAGTATATATTTGTGTATCACTATATAAGGTAGTAAACAATATGATATTACTGGTTATCATTGTACAGATTAAGTAAAGACGGCGTCCCCAAAAGTCACAGATCTCGGAATGACAATGGCTTAAAATATCTACATGTATTCATTTAACATTAACATTGAACGATACTTTGTTGAATTTATGAAAACTGGACACATTACATTATTTTATATAATTTTTTTCCCCGTCATTTCTTGAACGAACCTCTACCAACCGAATAATAATTATTATATATTTAATGCCAATATACATGAGCCATATATATTGGTACAAACAGAAAAACGATATTGACACCAAGGTTCATAATTGATTCAACAAGTAAAGATCCACTGAAGAGCTTGTAAAAGTATAATGCCTCTAGCTAACGTATTCCTTTAATTTTTTGCTGCTTCAGCGTAATGCAAACAAAATGACTGCATAGTCACTCGACCAGTAAAATTCAAAGAGCGGGGTCCATGCTACAGGGATTTTGGATTCCTCCTATTGGTTCGTATGCTGTGTTAGCTGTACGGTAATTACATCTATTAGCTCAGTAGGATGGATGGATCTAACATGGCTTGTTGCTATGTCTTCCCTCCATGATTTGCATGACAAAAATATTCAATAGTTAAAGTCCCAATTTTCATGTAAAATCAACTTGGAAAGACAAATATAACATCTGATTTTGCATCTAATGGTTGTTTAGACTCTAGAGAAAACAAAGCACAGTACAAAGGCAATTTGATACGTCTAATTTCCCTAACTTAAAGACCAACAATAGTAAACAGTAATATATATATGTACATCTGATCAATATTTTTATACTACTGCACAAGACATTAGTCCTGATGAAAAAATATGTTTATGAAATATTCACGAATCAATGGTGATTGTTGACCCATGTCATCAATGGCAGAATGCCTCCCGAGAGGCTATACCTACCGTGCGTATACACTAACGGTCATTGTGTATGTTAGCTGGTGTCCTTAGGTGTTTGGTCTGGGGATTACATCCAGCCATTTGTGCTCAACAATAAAAAAAGAAAATACTGGCGAACAGTATTTTGACATTTGTTCGGAGCCAAGATCGCCTCATTTTGATGAAGCCATGGAGAAAAGACCAGTTGTAACACAATGTATGATGAACTTCCGGAGTCTTGATGGAATTAAAGCATGCTCTGCATAATGAGCTGGCTTATTAACGTAAATGTATCTCTACGACATAAAACACAAATTAAAAAATTTGATTTCTTTAATAGTTTAACAAACAAGGAAAATCTCCAGTTGGAGATATTTCCAAAGAAACAACATTCTGCTAATTTCGTAAGTATATGGCGTTCCATCATTTAGGCTTAAAGAGGATACCTAGTGGTTATACAGAGGTCTCTTAAACGTAGTTACTAGCTAACAATTAAAATAAGCCCATCTGAAATCCTGAAGCCAGATATGCTAATACTACATTATACTGTCTTCTGTCGGTGGTTAGTTTGATTAACATTGTAAAATTTCATTGTCCTACACAGAGTAATAGCAGAAATGTATACATAGTCTCATCAATTCACTGCACCACTGTGTTCTATTTGCATATGTACATATCAAAATGTTATTTTTCAAAAAACATGTATTTTTTCTCGTTTAATTAACTGCATTGACTCAACCTATTTAAACAATTTAAATAAAATGTTTTTGTCAACCTTTTCTTATTCATTGGATCACAGAGCAAACAATTAACATTTTTGGTAAAATCTAGGACCAAATAGGTTTTCCTTCAAAAAAAACACATTTTGCAAATACTATAATGTAAATATATAGATCAATTTCTAAAATTGTAAATTTTCAGTTTGTTTGGGGAAGTTTTCGTTCTATCTGTACATAAACACTCATTTTCAATACTGTGAAAGACTCCACAACCTGATACGATTACGAGTACTTTTATCCTTTCAGAACTTGTCATATCCTCATATTACTGAAACCAGATTGTTAAAGTCTTATCAAAGGGGACCATATACAAATATTGGGAGACAGGTCTTATACGTGTGTGATTGAAGTGTGCAATATGAGAATATCTTAATGAAAAAATACCCCAGTCCTTCACTACGTACAATACAAAACGTTTTTTTAAATGTCTGTTGACAGTTGTCTAAACTTCAATAGCTGATAAATAAGGCGAAGGACTTGTCTCGTTATCATAATGACACCAATTGGATTTCACAATGTGTGTATAACCACAAAATTTGTGTGTGGCAAAACCAAATATCACAACAACACGTACATATGATATATAGTCGTAATGACAATTATCTATGTGTCGCAGGTAATGAAGGTTAAAGGTTAAGTTGGTGGAAACATGAAGGTTGACCTTTCCTGTCAGTACAAACCCACAACAAGGCGTCTTAGTGTGTGCATCAAGTTGTGTACAGAAAGGTTTTCTTTTTCTGTATGTAGAGCACCAATGTTTCTTCATGCACTCTAACAAAGGTACTCAAACATAACACCCTATCTTTATTGGTAGAAGTTAGTATGTAATACAACTGTTACACATTGCAAGCACACTGTTGTCAAATATATATACAAATGACTCTGCTAATTTGCTTTCAGATGTTATTTTAGAAAAATAATATATTTGTATAAATATGCTTCCATGAACTCCCCACTGATCAGAACTTAAAAACTATCATGGTTTTTTTTATCCAGTACCTAAATCTCCTCATATTCTCATTCCACATCTAACAGAAATATTTCTGAAAGTTTTCATTTTTTATCATCACTGCAGCTTGTCATCAGCAAAACCTTTTTCTATGTAAGAGATCACAATGCACCCGAGCATGAAGATGTAGCATGTGTATTTGTGAATGAGAGGCAAATATGACACGTTAGCATAAGAGTTTAAAATTACAGTTGACACAAACAACTCGCTGTGTACTGAAACGCCCCTATAACTGGGTCAGTGTATTTGAAATCAGATAGAAACTCAACCCATTACTACTCAAAGAACAATAGGTATGTATACAGTTTAAATCTCATGCTTCAATTGGTTAATTTTCTTTCACTGTCTTTTGTGGTGTTAGGCGTGAAAACTTCTAACTGCCTCGCTGTCAATTTTTTTGATACCATATCTACCCTGCGGTAAGCCCTTGTGGAAAAACAAATCAATCCTGACACAATAGTCAGTAGGTATGGGTATAACACAGTTTTGTTTTTCAGCAATATATATGAGTGGGCTTATTACCAGGCACAGACTTCTTGCTCAAGAAATATCGTAAAGAGAGTTGAGATAGGCGCATATATTTGTAACATCTTACCTGTCCATAGGCAAATACTGTAGCATTGTACCCATCAAAACACCTGAAAAGAGATGAAAAGTGTTTAGTCGATATTATAGAATACACACTGTCGTAATTCTGTACTTAAAAAGACTTCATCCCTTGACTAAGCAAGATATGGCAGTCATAAACTAAATCCAGTTATTTAATGGTTTATTTTCCAGTCACATACACTGATATGAACCCTGACTAAATAAGCTGATAAGAGAACTACATTTACGATTTCCTTTTTTATATGGAGATACCCAGGAAATGTATACAGACAACTTAATATTATCACATTATAACAACAACTTTCACAACAATTAAAATCTAATTCAATAACTGACAGGTAATAAAAAGGTCTCTGTTATCCCTGATATTCATTTCAAAACTAGATAATCACATTAAATGCAGTATCGTGTAATTTTTGCGTGATTTTAGCGATAAAATTGTGAATGAATGTAAAGTACACTTGATCACCTTCATCTCAATCAAATTTTCACAAAAGATCTTTGAAAGCATCTCGCCCTGTCAACAGGTATTAATGCTTTAATTCATACTGGATATATCTGATTGCTGGGGTTTCTTGACATATAAAAAACATTTCAGAGAAAGTGTGGGCTTCATCTAGAATATCTTGAACCTGATAAACTGGATACTAGTTCTTTCATAACTCATGATGAGATAAATTAGTAAAATTTCAATCTGTAATTTTTACAACATTTTTCTAATAATAGCCTAGTTTCTGAAGAAATAAAGAAGTTCTTTATAACTGAGGACTTATTATTTTATTTGGCAAAGGACTTTAATCCTATTAGGTAGATAACACCATAACATAATCCATGTTTCATATGAACTTCGATCTGCCTCATGTAGATGTTTTTGAGGTCAATTATCCCATGAATGCATACAGAAAGTATGTGCACACCACTATAACAAAACACCATCATCTTATATATCCACTTCGGTACAGGGACGGGCACAAATTCCTCAACTAATCACAGTCCATATAAGTATATATTACAAGTATCCGTGAAAGACGTTTCAATGAACAAATAGCTTAGGACCAAATTTATAGGATGAAATGATCAGTGCAAAAGTCCCTGTGATGTTGGCATCTTACCCTAGGCTTAAATCAAAAAGGTTTTTTCACAAAATACCTACAAAATTTTAGATGAAAGCATGTATCTCATCAATGACGTCGACAAATTGTACATGTACATAATGAAGTACCCACCAGCAGCAATTTTTGCAGATGATATTGCATTTTAAGGAAACTGAATAAACAGAGGGAAGTCTTACGATAATTAGAATTTTTCGTCTTGTATTTAACTTCCTTTTTTTCAATTAACACAAATTTGTTTGAATTATTCAAAACTTTTTTCCCCCCCACAATGTCATTTCTTCTAGCTTTCGGAATCACTGTTAAAAGTTGATTAATTGAGAGTGAATTTGCTTAAGATTCATGCCACCCCTAGCTTTGAAAAACAGTCGCCTTTCTGTCTCCAACACAAGCCACCATCCTCCATTACCTTGACAACCATGATCATCAGCACTGTTTGTACTAGATGTAGAGACTGACACAAACCAATCTATCCAGCACTACAGCTTATACTGGCATCAAGACATTTCTGAGAAATTAAACATCTTCAGGAAATTAAAGAAGGCCACAAAATCTAGATTAAAATTTGATAATTATTCGTAGCTACAGATCAATGATTTGATAAATGCATTACAAAGGCCTCCTAAGCTGTGCCTACTGTACAAGTTATATATGGTATTAATTAAACCTTTTCCTTACAAACCAGAATACATATACATTCTATAAACATGACAATAAAACAGTTAATGCCAAGGTAATTCAAGCTAGGTTAACGAGAAAGGCATCCAAAACACCTTTATTATATTCCTGTTATATCCTGTTAAAGAGATATATTTTTTTCAGTAATATAAGTTCATTTTAATTTAGAATAAATGAAGAAACCCCACATTAAAAGTCAATAAACTTTAAAATTTATTAAATCTCTATGTATGTTTTTATGGTCACAGCTGCATGGTAAAGAAAAGATCAAATTCAGCAATATTCACTGACCTGAAAACAGGACGTGAGAGTGGCTGCAGCTTCATATATAATGAGGTAAAGTGAAGATAATCATAAATTTGTCATATTAAATATCCTATATAATGGTTTTCATGTTTCTGTATATCACCCGCATTATCCTTCAGTAAGTCGCTACAGAAATTGCCAATCAATGACCAAATCTAAAACTGACTTATAAAAACCTGTTGAGCAAACTAGTCTTCAAATTTACTGGTTTTAGTCCATACAGTTGGACCCTTGACATTTGTGAATTCAACACATGAAACTTTTTATAAATCATGTAGTTGGTCTTAGAACTTGGCAAATGAAAAAAAAAAAGACATAAAATTTTCCCTTAGTAATCAATATTTCCAGTACAAAAGATATTTACTCAACAGGCAATTTACCAAGTACATGCATTTCCATTCTTATTCAATTATTTTGCCAATTTCAGTATGAAACATTAAATCACTCAATATCTCTAAGCACGCGTGATACAGCTTAGCAATCGACCCCGGAATTACTTTTCCATTAGTGTGCAAATAAAAGCATATGTTTGTCCCGTTGGTTAATTACAGGGCTATGCTCTGATAAAATGCATCTGCTGTTTCGCTAAATAAGGAATGCATTGCTGAGATTTGTATCGTGCATCTTTTAATGTGCATTTTCTCTGTCTTGTCTTTAATGTGGAATTGCAAGAATCAGCAATTTAGTTTCGACAAATGTTGATACACTTTTAGTGTAGATGTATCAAACCTAAAGGATACCGAAGTAAGCTTCCATATCAAGGAATCCCTGTTTAAATCATTACCTGTGATCAATAGCAATAATATAAACATAAATTTCGATAATTTTCAAAAACACCAACATAAGTAATTATATTGTATCCCGAGTCTCAACCATAACTGTGTTCTTCACTAACAAATAAAAATTTCTATAATTTTCAAAGAGGTCACCAAAGTATGCAGTCACACATTGCGCCCCGAGTCTCAACCATCATCTGCGTTATTTACAAATAAAATAAATCAAAATCAAAGCAATAACATTTTCCTTCTGCAATAATCTGTTCAAACGAGCCGGTTCTGTTAAGATCTTTTTCTCATCATCAAGATTTTTCAATTTATCACGAATTTTAAGATTCTTCAAGGATGAATTTGTTTTGCACCTCATAAATCTGGGCACGCATTAGTTATGATAGATGTTCCCAGGGTGTTATGTTTACTGCACTAGCTAAACTCATACAGGTGTGTCATTTTCATTCATGTCAATATTATAAATTATCGCAGAGAAGCAAAGATTCATCCCTACAAGGTTTCTGATCGAATCTCACACAAAAATTTACACGGACCCCTTAATCACAATCTTGATCAAGCTTTTAAAAAGACCTAATCATTTACGTGGGTGTGGAAATAACAAGGTGTACAATACGGATGTCATAACTGCATTTGAAATATGTGTGAACAGCCATAAATTCCAATCTAAGTTTGACGATCAGATTTGTTCCTACTTATCCTGATTTAGTCAGATTCAATGCACAACCACCAAATTAAAAATTATCAGAATTGATATATCAGATATCAAGAATAACAATACTAATCAAAGCATTTATCTTCTAACAGAATTCAATTGAAAAATACAAGCAGCTCCTACACATACAAAAGAGGTTGGGAGGGCCAGGGAGATATTGCAAGTAGTGTACACGTATTGTGTGTTTGAGAGAAAGCGATGATGATACTGCTTGTACAAACAGGTTGTGTTTTAGAGAGGTAGGGAGTATGATAATGCTACACACACCTTTTGTATCAGAGAGGTAGGGAGGATGATAATGCTACATACAGCATGTGTATCAGAGAGGTAGGGAGGGTGATACTGCTAGTACACACAGCTAGTGTATCAGAGAGGTAGGGAGGGTGATACTGCTAGCACATACAGCTAGTGTATCAGAGAGGTAGGAAGGGTGATACTGCTAGTACATACAGCTAGTGTATCAGAGAGGTAGGGAGGGTGATACTGCTAGTACATACAGCTAGTGTATCAGAGAGGTAGGGAGGGTGATACTGCTAGTACACACAGCTTGTGTATCAGAGAGGTAAGGAGGGTGATACTGCTAGTACACACAGCATGTGTATCAGAGAGGTAGGGAGGGTGATACTGCTAGTACACACAGCATGTGTATCAGAGAGGTAGGGAGGGTGATACTGCTAGTACACACAGCATGTGTATCAGAGAGGTAGGGAGGGCGGGTGAAACTGCTACACACAGCTTGTGTATCAGAGAGATAGGGAGGGTGATACTGCTTTTAGGGATGGTCATATCAGATTTACTTATTCAACAATGATCTGTCAGCTATTTATGCCTAATTTGACTCCGTCTTTATCAGGTTTTCACCTGACTGCCTTGTGAGAGCCTGCAAGGAATGACTTGTGTAGTTTATCCCTGTAATGCATGACTGGATTTTTTTTTCTAATCTTTTCAATCAGTGTTTCAACAAAGTACAGTGTAGATAACATGGTTACACAAAAACGTTTCATATGTAATACTGAAGCTTAAAGTAGAATCATTCAACGAGACTTATCTCTATCTCACAGCTTTAGACTTAAACAAGACTTTTGATTTGTGTTTCACAATTACAAAAAAAAAAAGCAAAATTTTTGATATATCTAAAATAGAACATAATTTCATTGTACCAAAGAAATATTTCATAAACACTATTTCAAACATAAGACATTTTCAAATATCGATCATAGTCTATCGTATATTTTTTCACTTAAAATTTAGTCTTATAATTATAACAGTCCTTGATTTTACATCTGCCATATAAACTTAATGAGATGTATACATGTTTTATTTTTGGTGTTTACCATACACAAAAAGGTCTGATGACATTGTTGACAGTAGTGACTGTCAAACATATACAGGTAGTATATAAAAATTCAAACTAAAGTCACACCATTAAGCAT